ATCGCGGTCTACTATTTTATTTTTTTTTTTAATGTACTTTTCAATTTTTTATTATTTTTATATTCTTCACCTTATCCAATTTAATCCGTAAAACAATTACATATACAAAYATTTAGACGATGAGAAATACTTAATGTGCACACGAACACACATATGGAAGCACAAAAACAATTAATTTCAACTCCTACATTTGCTCTTTCGCACAAACAAATGCAATGGTAGGCGCACATACGCATACAAACTCACTTGATTAATGCCCTTCGAAGTTTTGAAAATATCGGTACTTTAAATAATGAAAATGTTCATTGGAGCCACCTTTTACAACAGCAACAAATGCAGGCAACYATTATTGGACACTACGCGCCATTTGTTTATCTCACACAAAAATCCAATTTATTGCACATCTCAAACACACATACGGACATCACAAGYAGACAATCAATGAGGAGGCCATCGTGCTCTGCACAAACAGCAATAGAAAAAACTCCTAACAACACACACATCGCACAACAATAGTAATTACGTGACAGCAACGTACRCATTGTTGACATTTTGTGCTCATTTTTGATACCAAAAAACAAAAGCAAAAAAACGACCGTTRTATGCCAATTGAATGCTTCAAAGCTGCAGCGGTGGAGCGGATCAAACGCSGAATACCGAAATGTGACGAAAGGACGTGTTGAGCCGTGAAAGATAGAAAAAGGAAAAACGAAAACAAACAAGCCGCAAGCAGTCAGACTGTCTGCACGCCGAAGTGTGTGACTAAGTGACAACAATGGACGCCAGCATGTCCAAGCGCATACCGCGCTTCTCGCTTCTGTACTCTGTATGTATGTGTATGCATGCATCTAATATTTTCATCTATCACCATTTTCGCCTRACTAAGACACCATATGCTGGCATGGGGTGGCTCGATAGTCTGGAGCAACACACATTATTGCTTGGCTATGCGTTTGAGGTTTGGCTGACACGTTCGCTCTCGTACTGGCATAGCTTGCATGCTTGTTGAGAATGTAATTTCCCAGGACGAGTTCAGTTGCGAACAGAGCGCCGCCGTGTACGGAAACCTTCTTTGGTGATACTGAAAAAATACTGAAATATCAATGRAAAAATAAGCCAAATTCTGTTTAATTTTTAGAAGCCATAATAACTACAAAATTATCTGCAATTAAGGAGCGAAGTAATTCATACACAAAGTTCAYAAACTAAACAGTGCAAATATAAACTGTTTCCAAAACGAGCGAGAATTGTCAATGCTGAAAGTGTTTATTGTTGTGGAAAATGTTAAGAGGCCAGCTAAGTTTTCACGCTAAGCACTCAATACACTCGCGCATTGAATTGTTGTGTGCCATCAGCGGACGTGTATGTAATRTGTGGCAGGTTCACACAAAAATAATAAAATAAAATAATAATAATTTACTATAAACGCATTTATTTATTCGGCTGACTGAGGCACCGAAGAMGTGTGTGTGTATTCGAATGGCTGCAGTTGAAACTCGTGTTACAATAAAGTTTGTTGTTACTAATTTATGATACTAATTAAGAAAAATTTTATTTTATTATTATGTTGCCAGATGCAAGTTTGCTTAAAAGCAAAAATTAAAAAATATTATTATTTGTTTTACATTGTTTGGTGCTAAATATACTTACAATAAATGTATTAATACGCAATCTATAAGGAGTTATAGTATAAGATGTACTCGGTACTCCTAAAATATTTGCGATGATTTATTTAGGCTTTCTTTGATTGATTTTTTATTATTCGAATATATTTTTAATAAGAAACTATTACATATAGCTGCCATACAAACTGGGCTATACAATTCAAATCCCTATATGAAAAACTTATTTATTTGTTATGCTATCTTCACGAAAGTTAGCTTATGTTATTATTTAATTTTAAATTATTTAAACTATTACATATAGCTGCCATACMAWCTGTCTGATCAAAATMAAATTCTTGTATGRAAAACTCTTTATATGCCAAGATATCTTCACGAAATTTGGCGTATGTTATTATRTAGGTATTATTGCAATATMCGAAGAAATTGTTCAGATGAGAAAACTATTTTAATAGCTGACACATGTGCTGACCGATCAACTCCAATCCTTGTTAGTAAACTCATTTTTGGTTGACAGAGTAAAAAATCACAATCGTCACAAAATTTGACATATATTATTATCTAAAACATCGTTATAATCACTGAACACTTGAAACTAACTTGATTAAAATCATGATACAAATATTTTGCATACCTTTTTATACTATACAAAATGTACTTGT